TGGGATCATGACCTGAGCCGAAGGCAGACGCTTAACGACTGAGCCACCCAGGCGCCCCCAGACTGTGAATTTCTAACAAGACATGTTATAAGAGTTTGGTGTCTTGCTAGGTGTTGGTACAGGGTGGGGAAGAAGCATTAAAGAACTGTTTGATTGCTATTGGCCCCATGCAGATTTCAGCCCAAAGGGATCCTATGCTACATTAGGATTTAATTGTTCTTTAGCAGAAAGAGAAACCAAATGATGAAAATGTTCAAAACATTAGTGGATTATTTTAGGAAATGGCATTCTAAAATGGGCACGTGCACTGGTAATTCCAGGTATGCTTCAAGTTCTTGAGTAAAAAAGACATTCTGGGCGCCTGGGTGGCTCAGTTGGTTAAGCGACTGCCTTCGGCTCAGGTCAAGATCCTGGAGTCCCGGGATTGAGTCCCGCATCGGGCTCCCTGCTCAGCAGGGAGTCTGCTTCTCCCTCTGACCCAACCCCCTCTCATGCTCGCTCGCTCTCTCTCTCAAATAAATAAATAAAATCTTTAAAGAAAAAAAAAAGAAAGAAACTAACCGCCTTCACACTTTCAGTATCATAATTCCTTAGAAGAGCATCAGGTAAATATTTTTTTTTCCTTTGGTAAATTAGGTACATCTAAGAGAATATTAGAAACTATCATATTCAATTGTACCTTATAATCTACTAGAAGTGATCATTCCTTTTTAAAAAAATAAATTTATTTATTTTAAAGATTTTTTATTTATATTTGAGAGAGAGAGAGCCTGAGAGCAGGGGAAAGGTCAGAGGGAGAAACAGACTCCCTGCTGAACAGGGAGCCTGATGCGGGACCTGAGCCGGGACCTGAGCCGAAGGCAGTCGCTTAACCAACTGAGCCACCCAGGCGCCCCTTAAAAAATGTATTTATTTATTTATTTAAGTCATCTCTACACCCAACATGGGGCTCAAACTCACAACCCCCAGATCAAGAGGCGCCTTCTCCACTGACTGAGCCAGCTAGATGCCCCTGGAAGTGATAATTTTTTTTTAAGCTTTTATTTATTTATTTGAGAGAGAGAGCACACACAAGCGGGGGGGCGGTGCAGAAGGAGAGGGAGAAGTAGACTTCCCACTGAGAAGGGACCCCAATGCAGGACTGGAGCCACCCAGGGGCCCCTGAGCATGTGACTCTTGGTTGTAAGTTTGAGTCCTACCTTGGGTGTAGAGATTAGTTAAAAATAAAATCTTAAAGGGGCGCCTGGGTGACTCAGTCGTTAAGCGTCTGCCTTCGGCTCGGGTCATGATCCCAGGATCGTGGGATCCAGCCCCGCATCGGGCTCCCTGCTCTGCGGGAAGCCTGCTTCTCCCTCTCCCACTCCCCCTGCTTGTGTTCCCTCTCTCGCTGTGTCTCTCTCTGTCGAATAAATAAAATCTTTAAAAAAAATAAAAATAAAATAAAATAAAATCTTAAAAAAAGTGAAAAGAAAAAAATGTATCTTTTACTATCACCTTATTAATCAGGCTATATGCCACAAAGATAAGCAAAACAAAGGTCGAACATACCTTAAGAAATCATGTCAGTTGAGGGACACCTAGGTGTCCCAGTCGGTTAAGCATCTGCTTTTGGCTCAGGTCATGATCCCAGGGTCCTGGGAAGGAGTCCCTCATTGGGCTCCTTGCTCAGAGGGGAGCTTGCGTCTCCCTCTGCTTGCTACTCCCCCTGCTTGTGCTCTCCCTCTCTCTCTTTAGCAAATAAATAAATAAAATCTTAAAAAAATGAAAAAGAAAAGAAATCATGTCAGTAGAGGTACAAAGGAAACCATGATTGGCTTTTTAATATCTAATATTTAAACAGTGTGAAAAACATAAGTAAAGGCAAAGCAAACATTGCCATTATTCATGTTTTCATATTTTTCTTTTTTTTAAGATTTTATTTATTTAAGATTTATTTGAGAGGGAGAGCGAGGGAGCACGAGCGGGGGTGGGGGGTGGGGGGGCAAAGGGAAAGTGAGAAGCAGGCTCCCCGCAGAGCAGGGAGCCCAACTTGGGGCTGATCCCAGGACCCCGAAATCATGACCTGAGCCGAAGGCAGACGCTTAACTGACTGAGCCACCCAGGTGCCCCATCATCAGGTTTTCATATTTTCACCAGCAAAAAATTTTCATTAGGTTAATGTTTGACTTCATCCTTCCCCCTGGAGTTGAATTAACACATATTTCAAATGCTAACCTTTTACTTATATACTCTAGAGGATGAAACTAATTCTTTTTCTTATTTATATTTGGTTTATAACCTGATGATAGTGATGTATCTAAAAGCAGTGTTTTCAGGGCGCCTGGATGCCTCAGTTGTTGAGCGTCTGCCTTGGGCTCAGGTCATGATCCCAGGGTCCTGGGATCAGCCCAGCATCGGGCTTCCTGCTCAGCAGTAAGCCTGCTTCTCCCTCTCCCACTCCCCCTGCTTGTGTTCACTCTCTCGCTGTGTCTCTCTCTGTCAAATAAATAAATAAAATATTTAAAATAAATAAAATAAAAGCAATATTTTCTAATACTTAGGTGAATAATGTAAGAAAGAGTGTGAAGCCAAAGTCACTTGTTTAATGCTGCAATGTATGTAAAAGGAGTGCCTTACACATATGAAGTGCTCACTAAATTTATAATTATAAAAAAACCCTATACAAGAACTCAAAAACAACACAAATATATCTTTAGCTAACCGGAGTGGTTTAAAACATTAGAAATAACACTTTTCAGTTATATATATTTATAGTTCATAATTGAAATACTTCCTCCCCACACCCAAAAACAAGATGTTCTTTACATTTCCTGTAAAGAATTGAGGAAGCAGTAAAGTCACCTTTTACATATAAGAAACGGGTAAATGTTACTAGACTTCTAAATCATTTTAAGTGACTAGCGTTTCAGTCTGACATTAATGGTCTCATAATGTATGAGACCATTTTTTTTTAAGATTTTATTTTTAAGTAATCTCTACACCCAACTGTGGGGCTTGAATTCACAACCCCAAGACCAAGAATCACTGAACCATCCAGGCCCTTCTAGTAATAAGCAACTTTTAAAAAATAGGTGTTCTTTTCTTAACCTGAAGTTTAGTTTATAAACCTTTAATTACTATCTTTGCTGAAACACCTTTGACAGAGGTGGCATTCATATCTGGTTACAAATGTGCCCAAATCTAATGAAATCACTATCATGGCAAAAAGAAAATGCTCTAAGAGTCAGAATATGAGCTTGTCATAGTTAAACTCATTACCAGTAAAACATTTTTAAAGTGCAGTGACGAAATACTGTTTTAAGGGGGATGATCAGAAGTTATCTATAAGGAGAAAGTTAATAGTACCAGAATCGGGAGTGAGGTGATTATAGGAATCAACGTCCTGGCCGACCCAGCAAAGGAAAATGGGATATTATGAAGTTCCTCTTGGATAAAAGTTCCTCGGAGGCACATGGGTTTAACTCTTCCAGTCGGAATTTCCAAAGGGCTGCCCTAAAGGGCAGCAAGCGCTAGACTGGATTTACAGTTCTGGTTTTGACTCTAACGTTCATAAGGAACTTGATCTTGAGCAAAACCTTGCCTTTCTCAGAGTCTCAATTTTCCCGTCTGTAACACAGAAGGAAGAGATGGCCCTTAAAGTCATCACCTGAAGTTACTTAAATTACTTAGCTAATTTTTTAGCGCTCTGCAGGAGGCAGCGGCGAGGGAACGCCGCGGCTGGGGAGGGGTTAATTCCGTCTTGCCCCGCCCCTTTACTGACCCCGCCCCATCGGGCACCACCCCTGCCCGGGTTGCACCCTTGACCCCGCCCCCAGGCCGTGCGTCCACCGGAAGTGCCCGCGCGCGGGCAGCTCACTTCCGCTCGGCAGGTGACAGCCGCGGGGCTCCGAGCGGCCGGCGGCACGGACGCACCGGGGGAGCGGGAGGGCGAGGCCGCGGACATTTTGCTGGCGAGCCGAGCCGCGCCGTGGTGCCGGGAGCCGTTCGGACCTGTGGGTGAGGAAGCGGGGAGTCGGAGAGGAAGGAGAAGGAGTGGGCCGGGGAGGCGGTGGTCTGAGGTGAGGGGTTGGTGGGGTCAGAGGTCACGGAGAGGACGGGGCGCTAGAGGGGAGAGAGTGGCTTCCGAAGCCACGACGAGACAGAAGGACTGCGGGTTCATTCATTCGTGACCACTTGGCCGCCGGCCTGAATCCCAGCCGCCCCAGCCGGCAGCCCCTCTTGGGGCGTCCTCCCGAGAGACTCCTACCTAGACTAAGGCCCCGAGGAGTCCGCCCCTCGCCAGGGGAGAAACTCCTCTCCCTGTCCTGGTTTCCTCCTTCCATCCTGAGGCCTCCCTGTCATTCAGGGCCTTTTCTCTTTGCCAAGGTTCAAAAAGAAAAAAAAAAAAAATCAAGAACCGGCCCTGCGCGCCTGCCCCGCCGTAGGCTTGGGCTTGGTCTAGCCGTAGGCTTTTCGTGGACAGGTTATCTGGGGACACCTGTGATCACGCTAAAAATGCTGACGAAATGCTAGCTACTAGTTATTGAGCTCCTACTGTGTGCTAGACACTGTGCTAAGCACTGTAGGTACAATGCCACATGTAAACTTCACAACAACCCTTGTGTGGTAGCTGTTGTTGATATCCTCATTTTATCCAGAAGGAAACTAAGGCACAGAGAGGTTGAATCATACATGGTAAGGTCAGTCCTTACTATAGGTGTAGGCAGAGCCAGGGTTCTTACCCAGGCTTTCAGGGACCTGCAAAGTGCAGAGACAGAAGAGGCTGGAGCAAGGTTGGGGTGTAGGGGCTGGCTGTTTGATATCTTTAGCTGCTGTTGTATTTATTTGAAGCTATGTAAAGATGTAGCCTTATTATGTTGTGTCTGATCTTCATAAGGGGCATTTGATTCACATGTTTAGGATGAAACAATCCTGCAGGCTATTGCTGTAAGTAATTACATTTCAGGGCAAAAGTGGAAGTTTTTCCTGACTGTTGAGAACTGTGAGACACAAAACAGGCTATTCATGAAGCTAATTTAAGAATATTCAGACCCTCTCTTAAGAGTGGTTGAGCTGCATTCCTTTTGGAATAAAGAGAGGAAGCACATGACCCCTAGGGGATCTTTTGGCCCTAGGTTCTTGAAGAACGTTCTCAAGGGGAGGGTCTCTGTCTCAGAAAAGTGCAGGCCCCTTGGCTTCTTGGCTGGGAAGCACACATCTTGCTTGGGAGATGGTGAGGTCATTTGATGGCTGGAGGACCAGACTCTGGGAGTCTGAGCCTTATTCCTTTGCAGATAGTCACTTGCTCCAGTTCTGCCTCAGTTTCCCTGATAGCAGCAGGAGAAAGACCTGCTGCCTTCCTATCCAGCCAGTCCTGCGTGGTGTTACAAGCCTTAATGAACCTGTGAAGGTTTTCACATGCTTCTGAAGAAAGCTGTGATGTAAATATTACTGTAGTACCGGGACGCCTGGGTGGCTCAGTCGTTAAGCGTTTGCCTTCGCCTCAGGTCATGATCCCGGGGTCCTGGGATCGAGTCCCACATTGGGCTCCTTGCTCAGTGAGGAGCCTGCTTCTCCCTCTCCCTCTCCTGCTCCCCCTGGCTTGTGCTCTCTCTCTCTCTCTCTCTCTCTCTCTCTCTCTCTCTGACAAATAAATAAAAATCTTTAAATATTACTGTAGTACCTTTTTTAAAAAAAAATTTTTTTTTTTTAAGATTTTATTTATTTGACAGAGACACAGCGCGAGAGGGAACCCAAGTAGGGGGAGAGGGAGAAGCAGGCTTCCTGCTGAGCAGGGAGCCTGACCTGGGACTCTGTCCCAGGACCCTGAGATCATGACCTGAGCCGAAGGCAGACGCTTAACGACTGAGCTACCCAGGTGCCCTGTAGTACCTTTTTTTAAACTATGATCTGTTCTTCTAGTTCCATTGAATTCACAGAAACTTAATATTGTCACCTTATCCCCATCCTTCCAAGGGAGGATTTGAGATGAAGTGACTTGTCACAGATGGTGGGAACATGAGCAAAGCTCAGAGCATCTGGCTCCCTGTCCTGAGTTGAGCCCACCAGCCTCCTCCATCCTCTTAAAAACTGTCATAAAGAGTAGCTTCAGTAGTTCTCAAAGAATCAGATCCCTCGGAGGTTGTGGAGAGATTATCTGTTGAGTATGCGTTGAGCAGAGGCTTCATCCTGAGCAGCCTGAAGGGCTCAGAGGTGTAGTGGAAAAAGCACTGCCGGACTCCCCATGAGTCAACCCTGGGTTCCGAACCCAGCTCAGCAGCTTCCTGATAGTGTGAGCTGGACAGCTTACTTAGGCTTGGCCTCATTTACCTCAGCTCTAAAATAATACCACCACCTTCTCCTTATCCCCCCCAACACCTGTGTGTGTGGGGATTAGATAAGGAAATTTGTGCAGAGACTTATTGTGGTTGGTTGCCTTGACCCTAGGCAGTTGATGCCTACTGGGAGCCTCTGTCTGAGGAAGGCTGCCAACCCTGGTTTGTGGGGTATTACTTCCTTCTGCAAACAGAGACCTTTATGTACACAGGCCTGCTCCCACCCTTCTCGTTTCACTTCCTAAAAGTGTTTCAGAACAAGTTTAGTCTGTTGGTCCTACTGGCTTTGGACTTGGACTTTCATGTTTTGCTGGTCATCCTCTGAAGCTGTTGCATGTCTTGACTGCTCACTTCCCAGAAAACCCCCCATGCCTGGCACCAAAGCCTGACATGCTGACAGTGAGCAAACATGGCTTGGGTGTGAGTTTTGCATTTTGGTGTAATTATGAAAGATTGAGAGGGCATCTGTTACATGTAGATGTTTCTTTTTCTGAACAGGTTTTTTTTTTTTGCCTGAGATAGGTCACTGATACATGATTACAGCCCAGAAATGGTTTTAGTGTTTTGTTTTGTTTTTCTCTTCACACAGAGAGGAACAAATAACACCAGAGAGAAAATATCACTTGAGCACTTGGGGAATCCTTTAAAAAATAATCCTGCTTGAATATCCATCAGTGACTCCTTTTTGCCCTCAGACTAAAATTCACATTCCTTATCATGGCCTTCAAGGCCTTTTGGGCTGACTCCTGCCTGGCTCTCCTGCCTCATCTCTCCTACTCTCCACTTCCATCTCTTCCCAAGCTCCAGTCAAACTCAAACTCAGCCACTTCTGCAACCCTCAACTCTTTTTACATTCTGTGTCTTTGTTTTGTGCTATTCTCTGCTTGAACACCATTTCCTGTCACACATGCCTCTTTCTTTGCTGGACCACTACTTGGAGCTTCCTGTCTGATCATCTGTCTCACCTTGCAGGCCTGAACCTCCTCAGTGTCCAGTGGCACTGCTCAGGAGGATTTGTCATTGTTCACTTGGCTGGCTTCTAAGTAAACAGCTCTTAATCCTTGGGGAGGATTTGTCTTAACTGTCTGTGTCTCTAGCACTTAGTGAAATGTCTGGCACATAGGTGCTCAGAAAATGTTCAGCGAATGAATGAATGTTGCATTGACTTGTTACAATTCTTTGATTACTAGGGAAGAGGGAATTCAAAGCACTTTCCTGTCCATCCTCATATCACTCCAGGGGGATAGGGAGAAGTCTGACCGGTGATAGGATTAACTACTCTGGTTTTGTTGCTACCACCCCGACAGCCACCAGAGTGACATTTCTGGGGAAAGAGCCTTCCAGGCCCAAGATAGTGGAGAGTAGGAGTGTCCCTGGCTTGTTTGAGAACAGCAGGGAAGCTGAGTGAGCAATGAGCAGGGCAGTGGGTTATGAGGTCAGAGGAGAATGGAGGGGGCTTCCAGGTCAAGATGAGAACCCTGGCTTTTACTCTGAGTGAGGTGGGAGCTGCTAGAGGGTTTTGAGCAGGAATTCTGAGATCTGACTTACATTTCAACGGGCACCACCACAGTGCTTCAGGGCCTCCAGAGACTTGGGGTTGGGGAACAGTGAGGAGGTGCTGGTGGTAACCACTCTCCCTATGTAGTAGGCATAGTGGCCAGCCTATAGCAATAGGCCACTTGGGGCACTGCTGAAGGCTTTGCATGTATTGACCTGTTTTATTTTATTTTTTTAAAGATTTTATTATTTAAGAGACGATGGACTCTGAAAAACAAATTGAGGGTTCTAGAGGGGAGGGGGGTGGGGGGGTGGGTTACCCTGGTGATGGGTATTAAAGAGGGCACGTTCTGCGTGGAGCACTGGGTGTTATGCACAAACAATGAATCATGGAACACTACATCAAAAACTAATGACGTGATGTATGTTGATTAACATAACAATAAAAAATTTTTAAAAACTAATGATGTAATGTATGGTGATTAACATAACAATAAAATTTAAAAAAAGATTTTATTATTTAAGAGAGAGTGAGAGAGAGAGAGAGCACAAGAGGGGGGAAGCAGACTCCCTGTTGAGCAGGGAACCCGACTTGGGGCTCAATCCCGGGGTTCCGGGATCATGACCTGAGCCGAAGGCAGACGCTTAACCGACTGAGCCGCCCGGGCGCCCCTGTATTGACCTGTTTTAGCCTCACAAATCCCTCAGGTATGTGACATTACAATTCTCAGTTGACAGCGGTGGTATGCCTATGCCTGTTAAGTTGTGTAGGCCCCTGGAGAGCCCCTGTCACACCTGCTGTGGCCACCTTCCCTTTCCCAGCCCCTCATTCTTGGATTGTCTCCTGTTATTTAATGTTGCTGAGGAGGGGCTTGGCTGTGGTTTTAGATTTTCAAGCCTCATGCTTTTGGGATCGTTAGCCTTGGGCTTGACCTCTTACCTCCATTAAGAGGGTCTCCCCAAAGTTGGGAGACCTCTTCTCATTAAGGTAAGAGGCTGGTTGAGTCCGGAATGCCCAGAGTCCATCAGCAGCCAGAATGCCCGCCTTAGTGACTGCTCTCCCAGGTTTACCGTCTCCTCTGTGGACTTGAGCTGGAAGATGGTAGGTTTGAAAGTCAGGTCTCAAAGCTTTAAAAGCAGTCCTCCATCGTTCATTTTCAGCACTGAAAACATTCGTTAAAGCAG